CCGATTTCTTTAAGAGAAAAACTTAAACAAGAGTTGATATTTCGACCACAAAAACTTAACGAACCACTTGCCTTGTATGTTAATGAAATTAAATCAAATCATCTAATCTTAAAGGCTCATTTAACAGAATCTGAATTAGTAGAGTTTATAAAAAATGGAATTAACCCCGAAATAAGAAATCAACTAATCTTTCAGAAGAACCCCCAAACCTTTAAGGACTTGGACGACATGTGCATTAACTTAAATAATGTAAGTTATAATGATTATGTAAGAAGACACGAACATACTTACCCTAGACACCAGCCCTGCAACATCCGCCCACAATATAATAGAGCACCGAATCAGAGCAGACCTGGTAATGATGTAAACCCAAGACCACATCGTTACAACGAGGAAAGAAAATGCTACAATTGTAACCGACTAGGCCATATCGCTAAAAACTGTTACAGAGGTACGAATTCAAAAAACTAATTAAGTCGGGAGTTATAGTAAAATCCGAAACACTATTATCCAACGACTATACTCCCGAGAAAATTAATAAAACTATCCCTTGTAATCAACCTAAAGCGGAGGTGCCATCAAAACAGTTTAAAAGGGAATTTCGTAAACTCGTTAAGGACTGGAACAAAGTAAAATTACCCCACCTTACTAAAGTTGACGCAGTGATCAACGAGAGTTTACCCGGTTTACAAATAAAATTTGGTCAGAAAATGCATGCATTAGCGTTGATTGATACTGGAGCTAATAAAAACTTTTTAAGTAAAAGCTTGTATGACAGATTAATAGAGATTAATAACAAAAGGAGGTTGATAAAACAGCATAGACCGACTATTGATGAATTTAAAATAGTAGCAGCCAACGACACGGAAATTCAAGTTTTAGGCGAATGTAAGGTGAGAATAAAAATTGATAAATATTCATGGTATGAAAACTTTTTGATCATTGAGCAAGATAACTTTGATTTAATTCTGGGGACACCGTTTATAGTGTCAAAGGGCCTAAGCATGAATTTACAACAACAAATATGTTACTTTAACTTCGATCGCAAGAATAATATCAGATTAACGATGCTAAAAAACCTTGATATTGGGTTAAATAATATTGTAGTAGGTACAACTGATATGTTACGAGAGGTTGAACAGCTGATATCGCAATATCCAGATGTGTTTACAGATAAGATAGGGAAAGCTTTGGATTTGGAAATTGATTTACAGTTAACTGATGACAAGCCTGTAAATATTCGACCATATTATTTATCTCCACCAGCAGTCCAGAAAATGAAGGCAATTATTGAACAATGGTTAAAGGACGATATTATCGAACCGTGTACATCAAATTATTCGAGCCCTGCATTCGTAACGAAATCCGATAGATTAGTAATAAATTATTCAGAGCTTAATAAAAAACTGATTCATATGAATTATCCGCTAGGTGACTTACAGAACCTTTATCAACATTTAAGAGGAGGAAAATACTTCACAGTAATTGATTTGAATAAAGCTTTCCTTCAATGTCCGATAAGCGAAAGATCAAGAGATGTAACGGCCTTTTCGACTATATTTGGTAAATACAGAATGAAACGAGTATCGTTCGGATTGCAAGTGGGTAGCTCAGTATTAGCCAGTTATTTAGATAAAATATTTCACGATATAAAGTTTGATTACCTTATCAATTTCTGTGATGACATTGTAATTTACAGTCCGGACAAACAATCCCATCTCAGACATATGAAAGAAGTGATAAAACGTTTATCGGCACATCACCTCACTGTAAATGTTAGCAAAGCCAAATTCTTCTGCAACGAGATAAGTTTCCTGGGACAAATCATTAAGAACAACACGGTGTCTATTGATCCCGAGAGAACCAAGAGTATACGAGAATTTCCTTCCCCTAAGAACGTCAGAGAGGTCAAACGTTTTACAGGCATGGTATCCTTCTGGCAAAAGTATATACCCAATTTTGCCCAACTCTGTATCCCGCTCAACGCGCTTAAGAAGAAAAAAGCTAAATTTAAATGGACCGACGAGTGTCAGCGGAACTTCGAGGCGTTAAAAGACCACATAGCAAACCCGCCTGTTCTACAAATAGCCAATTTTGAATTACCTTTCACAGTACAAACTGATGCTTCTCAAAAAGCCGGAGGCGGAGTGCTACTTCAAGAAAATTCCGACGGAAAATTGATGCCCCTAGCCTATTATTCGAAGAAATTCACAGATGCCGAGCAAAAATACAGCATTTACGAAAAAGAAGCGTATAGTGCAATACTATGTATTGAGAAGTGGCATGAATTTTTAGAAATTCAACCCTTTAAATTAGTTACAGATAACCAAGCTCTGAGTTATGTTTTAAACAGTAAGAGAAAATTAGGGCGATTATCTAGGTGGGTTGAAAGACTGTTGAACCTGCGCTTTACAATTGAGTTTTGTCCAGGCAAGGATAATGTTATAGCCGATTGTCTATCGAGGTTGTATGGCGATGATGAGGATGAAGTCAATGGAAGCGAGAAGAATGAAGACGACGGACCTACGAAGAAGGTGAAAGAAAAACAAATTGGACATATACTTGATGAAGCTAAGACAAACGTTGTATATAACAGCCCTAAGCCCCTCAATAGCGCCCGAGTACATAATAAAGGATTTTTAAACTCAGCCCAACAGTTACCACTCGCATTTTCCGACATAATTGAGCACCAACAGGATGACCCAGAGTGTCAAAAAATCATTGCAAGCATTAAAGATAATAAAAACCAAGAATGTTTTTTGCTACATAAAGGAGTATTGTTGTATAACAATGGGAAAAGTAAAGGAAGAATATACTTGCCAATTAAGTTATTCAACATGGTTTTTACGTTTTACCATAACACGTTATTTGGAGGACACATGGGAATCAGTCGAACAAGAGCTAGAGTGAACGAATCATTTTATCATCCTGGCCTCAACGAGTTTATAAAAGATAAGGTGGTGAAATGCAAAGTATGTCAAATGTCAAGAACCAGTCAACGCCAACGCAAATTTGAAGGTAAATTGATATCAATTCCGATTGAAACAACTATGAACACAGTATTTTGCGATTTATTGGGACCTTTACCACGCAGTAAAAAAGGACATCAATATATTTTAATTATGGTGGACGGATTTTCACGCTATGTATGGCTCCATGCGCTGAGAAATTGCACTTCACGGGAGATAATAATGAAATTCAATAATACATTTTCAAACTTTTCGTATCCCCGTATTTTGGTGTCAGACAACGCTAAATATTTTGTATCACAAGAAATGAACAGTTATTTCTTTAGAAATTACATACAGCATCGGCGCATCGCGGCTTATAGGCCATCTGGGAACAAATCTGAACGATACATCAGGGATTTATCGACATTACTGCGTTGTTTTTACCACGATGAACATTGTAATTGGGATGAAGATCTAGGAAATATACAATTATGTCTGAACACAGCCCTGAACTCGAGTACACAAACTACAGCTTTTAAAATGATGTTCTTTCATGAGTGTAACAATGCCTTATCTAATTTATGGTCTATTCAAGATTTTATATCAACCGAAATAACCCCGGAGAGTAAGAAGATTAATCTGAAGAAAGCATTAATCAATGTGAAGAAGAATATTTCGGCAAACAGAAGAAGGACAAAATATCAAGAGGAAAATACCCGACATCCGTTTAAACTGCACGATCTTGTATTATTACGAACTCATTTTTTAAGTAAGAAGATTAACAAGTTTTCCAAGAAGTTGGCAGTAAAATACAAGGGACCGTATCGCATAATATATTTCGTAACTGATGTGACCGTCTTGGTACAAGATCCCGCAAATACGTCCGACGTCAAGAAGATACACATTATTGACCTGAAGCCTTATAATAGTTAACATAAATTTATATTGAAACAAGATAAAAACTGAAAATGTAAAAAAAAAAATACAATTTTGATTTTTTTTAAGTTGCTTGGTTAGGATACATTTCAGAATTATGTAGCAAGACGAATGAAATATAATGGTTTATGGTTATTAATATTGTATCATATTGTGTTGTATTGTTAAATTATGCACGGTTTCGAAATGGTTACTTTACGTCATATCGTCTTTTACTTGAAGTAAAAAAAAGGTTTTGCTTAAAAATAAAATGTGCATGAGGAAACGTAAATATTTAAATAAATTTGTAAAGTTTGGGTTATTAGACGTTTAACAAGAGTAAATTAGGTCAAGGACCGTGAAAGTACGCGTGCTTGGTGAATGTAAGTTGTATGTATGGTGTATAAATGTGAGCGAAAGAAATTTGTATGAGAAAGAATGTTTTTCGAATGGAAGTGTTGTAAATAGGAACTTGGTGGTATCACACGCACTTGGTTATGGAACACTGGATTCACTGACACACACACTGACACTACGCGCACAAACTAACTACACTGAATTAAACGGACACTGAACTACACTGGACACTGAACTATACTGCACGTTAGGACACTCACTGACATAACTGCTCGCATGAGTCATTCCACTACTTGATTATCACTAAAACCTGTTTGGGAAGTCCTTGACCTCATTACAGAAAGATAAGGGAAATTAATGTAACAAGGGAGTTTTCTAGTGGGTTAACAATACATGGTCAAATTTCCTTGTGCACTAAAGAAAAAAAAAATAAAGAAAATAAAAAAAAAATACATGCATGACAGTTAAATCTATATTGCTAGCTCTTTACAAAATGTTATATATTTAAAAAAAAAACTAATATGTAAAAATAAAATCACTTGTTATATGTTATTTATATTTATTGTAAGCTGTTCGAAAATTATTATTTATTTGTTAGCTAGTATCGAAAGTGTTGAGGAGGTATAGAAAAATCAAATGTTTCCTTTGGAGGTAGGATATTTATACTGATTTGTTACAGTAGGAAACATTTAATTCAGTTATAATCATTGAACTAATTATTGTTGCTAATCTATTGCGTTAAGTTGGTAGGTTGGTAGCACTTGTTGTACAGATCAATCTCGACATAGTTTGTTTTTTTTTAAGTGGAGAGCGGAAATAGAGGAGGGCGTTAGAAAATGTAAGTAGATCTATTGTAAAAAGTTGTAATTATAATTATCCGAGCACATCCATTGTAAAATATCATTTATATCAACCAGAAGTATTAAATGTTAAACAGAACACAACAAAGATTTAGTTTATCTGCAAGACAATCATAGTATTTTCAATAACTTGCCAATCATAACCTCTTGCCTCGTGTTAAACAATTGTATTTACCTTATTCAGTATTTTAGTTAATTTAGTATAACGATATGTAACTCAGACAATTTATTTTGTATTTCAGAACGAAGATCCTCCTTTTCTTCCCTGAATATAGAGCGCTTTCCATATGATTGTGTATATGCATGTACAGGTATCTCTAGCCTAAGAATTTATTGTTGTATAATGGATAATCGTTATTATAGGCTGGTTAACGAGATTGAAAAATAAATAATTACTTGGTGATTTAATCAGACTCTATTATTTCCACAGATCTTGGCTCTAGTCACTAAAACAAAAACTTGGGCCTAACCTAAAATTAAAAATTAGGTAATAGGTCAGTACAAATATTGATATCAGTAAACCAAACTGTGAACATCGGTTTTTATATGTAATTGTTTTGGCAGAGCTTTGCTACTGCTAAAAAAAGAAGTTTCCCTACCGGTACTTCTATTTATTTCAAACTAATTAGTAAAACAAATAATAAATAAACATGCCTTTATTTATCAAGCCGTTCTCTCAAATTAGTTGAGACAAAGTTTGACATTAAACATTTCGAATCCTCCATGTTAAACTTGGTGTGTAATAATATCAAATGTTAATAAAAATATCTTATGGTACTCCTTATATAATACGTGAAGGTGATTTCTACGAAACACTACTCCTCCGTTAATAATGGATGGATTTTTAAAAACGATGTGTCAAAATGAATCGACATCATTCAGTTAGTCTATATAACTAGGTGAAACCCGTCGAAATCGACGGTTACTTTCAAGGGTTACGTTAATTCATATAACTGCGATAAATTGGGTAAAATATACATATTTTGAGCATTTAGCATTGTTTAAAGAGTAATAAGTATAAAAACAATAACAATATTAATTGCGTTAGTCGCCAAATCTGGTTGATTATTCAATGAATAAAATGTTCCACATACCGTACGTCATCGGAGTTATTATTAGTATGATATCTGGTATCTCTTCCTTTGGAAGAACCTTTAAATAGTATTAAAATCGTATTGGTAGATGTTTTGTAGTTAAACACTTCCGTGATTTCATCAGTGTAATATGATTTTATTTGAAAAGAAAATATTTTTTTGAAGACATATTCTAATTTCAAAGGGAGGTATATCCGTTACAGTGTAAGTTTGATTTTTCCTTCGTCACGTCGCGTCAGTTCATATCGTACTTCTGTGCCAATGAATGAACCCTCTAGCATAGTTTTGAGAAATTGACTGTGGGGTTACTGTTAAACTGGAATTCCTTGACATGGGGGATGTCAGTTAGTTGTCTCAGCCTTATCAATAACGTAAGTTGTCAATATAATCTCTCTACGGAATGTTAGGTGTAGTGAAATACTTGAAGTGAAGTTGGATTTTATTCTTGAACTGTTAGTGGCCTCCTAGTTCATACGGCCTTGCGGCTTCCATTGGTAACAAATAATGCAAATGACATAGCAAAGGGACATTTCCAAAAAGCAAAAATACTGTAAATTGGCTGTTATGTATATATTGACGTTTACATATTGTTAATCAACGTATCTTCTATAAACGATTAGGTGATCTAGTTTAAAAGGAATATGACCTTTCTGTCATGACAGTAGCTGCTTAAATAGTATTTTCTCTTTGTACCATATTTTACAGCCAAAATGTCGTGTTATTTTCAATAATGTTACCAACCCAGTGCGCCAAAGTCCGTAATATAGGCAGGTGCAAATAATTTGTCAAGATGGGTACCATTTTAGGCAAGGTTTCAATGTTTGGATTTTATTAGACACGATAAGAGCAGATATTTCTACATAAACATTTGATATGTGTAGAATAATATGATAAAATGTAGGCAAAAGTGGTGAATAAGAAAGACACCAATCCGTACAATAGATATAAGATAGTTCAATAAGAAATAATTTAAGAATTGCTGTGATAAAAGGATTTTCCACTGATTTCGTAATGGAACGTTATATTGCAAAACATGACATGATAAACACGAAAATCAATTTTAAAATCAGAAAATAACATTGCAAATACTTATTTGGCAGAATTCAGTACTGTAGCTCCCAATAAATTTGTGTTGTTTGAAATACAATTTAAAAATGAACAGCTGTTTTATTAAAAAGTATTATTCACATGGCCAAAATGTAAACAACTCTGTGGATGGATCTTTAAAGGCTTCTGGGGCAGAGTCCTAAGGGATTTTGCATAGTTTTTCTTTTGATAACTCATCTACAGACCAAGACCTTTCTTTGGACACCACTACCAAGTTTCTACGCCAAGCCGTTCTCTCAAATTAGTGGGTTCAAAGTTTCCAATTAAATATTTAGATTCCCCCATGTTAATCTTATGGGAGAAACTCCAACTTTGATGGCCTGTGGGGCAAAGCCCGAGGGTTTTTATTAAAGGAATTGGTGAAAGGGGGCGTCTACACAAAAAATACTTTATTTTGACACGTCGTTTGTAAAAATCCGTCCATTATTAACGGAGGAGTAGTGTTTTGTAGAAATCGCCCTCACGTATTATATACAGGGGGTTCATTTGAAAACTTTCCATATCTGTTGTGTGCAAAGGTAAGGCTTTTAACACTTGTTTGTTCTCATTTCCCCCTAATTTGGACATGCCAAATCCAATAAAATTATTTTCAATTTCGAAAATTGCCCCAAAAGGGCCCAATTCGGGGGGTAGGGGTGCTTTTTGAGAAATTTTCAAATGTAAACATGGGTTGTGTGATACATCAATTTAAAGGTCTAATCACCCCGACTATTTTGGTGCAATAAAAATGTAATTATCTTTAACCGTATTTACAGGGTGGGTCAAAACGTTTTTAAAAAGGACTTTGAAGTTAAGTGCCGTATTACCCAAACTACTGAACGGAACAGCGCCAAATTTCTTTCCAAGCTTATTCTTGATCTACTCTTTAAGATAACTTGTAATAAGGGCATTTTCCATGTTATCTTCTAATTTTTAAAAAATCTCAAATTTTAAGAATAAAAGAAAGGTGAAAACTCAAAATTCTTAAATAGTCCTTGTTAATAGTCCTTTTTAAAAACGTTTTGACCCACCCTGTAAATACGGTTAAAGATAATTACATTTTTATTGCACCAAAATAGTCGGGGTGATTAGACCTTTAAATTGATGTATCACACAACCCATGTTTACATTTGAAAATTTCTCAAAAAGCACCCCTACCCCCCGAATTGGGCCCTTTTGGGGCAATTTTCGAAATTGAAAATAATTTTATTGGATTTGGCATGTCCAAATTAGGGGGAAATGAGAACAAACAAGTGTTAAAAGCCTTACCTTTGCACACAACAGATATGGAAAGTTTTCAAATGAACACCCTGTATAAGGATTTTAAGTACTCGGACTCCTTTTACCATCGGCACAGAAAACATACTACTATCTGATTGGACCGTTAATACCCTCTAACATTGAACCAAAGTATGCCCAACTTTATGTATACGACGTAAACACAGCTGTTACTTACAGAATGGGCCACGATCCGTGAAATGCGAACAACTGCAGATGCTTGATCTAAGTGAATCTCTTATATTAATACGTGAGGGCTGTTTTTTTGTGAACAAAACTCCTCCGTTATTTCTGGATCGATTTTAACATTTGAGGGGTCAAATAATTCGTCTCAATTCGTAGTTTTGCATAAAGGTTTTAAAATTTAAAAACTCTTACCCTTAAGGGCACGAGACGCTCTCAAAGGTCGCATTTTCCCCATAAGAATTACATTGAAATGAAATTTCAAAACAAAAACAGCTGTATATAAAAAGAAACTCACCAGCTTTTTGGGAGTAAATATTGATGTTTGTTACATTTAGGAGGTTATAGACAAATCTAAACAGTCAATCAGTTTTTTTGGAAGAACAGACAATTTCTTGAGTTTAAAGGAGAATTATTGAAAACAGGAGGATGAGACAATTAATAGGAAATCTTATACGTATGAGAAGAGTAGAGGAGAGGCCTTGTGGGCCTGGTGTCACAGTAAGGAATCCAGGTACACAATCACTTGGGGAGATGAATCATTTTTGCCAGTTATGCACAGTGGTAAAGTAAACCTACCTAAAGTCAGATCAAATAAATACATGCAAGAAATTTTTACTGGTAATAGTTTTAAGTTGGGAAACATTAATTTGTAGAAAACACAAAAAAATAGGACATGTCCAAAAAATTCTAAAATATTTTTACAAGAAGCGCTTATTATTTCAAAGCGCTATTAAATGGAGTGAGTATTTCAATTAGTTACATAAGTATTTAGTCGGGTCTTTTAAACTCATCAAAAATTATAACCGTTATTACTGTAGTTTTAAAATAACTTCTGTATATTACCGGTACTTGAAAATTGCTCGATTTCGAGCAACAGGTACACTAGTATATATTAATAGGCAAGCAGAAATCTATATATAAAGCCAAAAGTACCCATGAACTTTTGAGAAAACTACAAGTCACACCCCCATCCAGGTGACATTTAATTGCGAAGCATTTGTTTTAGCTTGAAACTGTCAGATACTGTACTTGCGAAGGTTTATAGATAATAGTTTTGCCAGCATATCTGAAAATATGCAAACCAACTGTTGTTCTTAATATAAGAAGGTTTCAACTGACTACTATAAGATCCCCGTGCGTAGAACGGGCACACAGCTAGTTTTAATATATTCACTGGATTGGCGAGAGTGTCTTTAGCCATTAAAATATGGCCTCACAACTTAGTAAATAAAATTACGGATGTTCAAAAATGCAGTTTTGTGCGATTTTTGTCCAATTTTTATCACATAATCATCTATGAAATAACGAACAGCTGTTCGGATCAAGATTATTTTTTCTAGCTGTCACTGATATGTTTACAAATGTTGTTTACAAATACCGAAACCATTTCCGATCACATTTTGAAGGCTAATCCCAACCAAGTGAGATTAAAAACGTATTTCTTACATAACGGATTTAATTAATCGCAAGTGGAATAATATAGTGTAAACGTAAATGAAATTAAATAACTAGGCATCATCCAGGTCAAGAACCAGAGATTCTTTGTGTATAAAATTGTTCTTGAGTTTTGATAACCAGAAAGAAGACCTTGAATCAGTGTTGTATAGGACTGGGAATTAAATTTATTAATGATCGTCGCCAATAGCTTACAAACATGGTTTCCACTCATTGACGGCGCTTTAATGGCGTTTGTGTAAAGTGTAAAGTAAAAAATCACAACTGCTGTGGGTGATTAAATCATAGGTTTACGGTTTATGGATGATG